CACTCCCTTTTTCCATTATTTTCTTTTTTCGTTTTTACTTTAAACAAGCGATTTATGGATTCTTTAAAGTAAACTCTAAAAGTAAAAAGACTGAGAAACAAAAGATAACTTGTTCTCTTCTTTTAAATGTTTATTCTAACAATTCCCTTTTTTTGGCCATATTTTATCCAAACAATTAATGTACACAGAGATTTCTCTATCTTCAACAGCCCTTTTATCCAATTTGTAATAATATGATTATTAGTATTTATCCTAAGTTTGTTTTTTTAAAAAAAAGGCATCTCTTTTAAAATTCTTGTGATTTTATAAAACTATTTCTATATTATAAGAAACCTTTTAAAAGAGAATTACAGATGCGTGTTGATAAGCGGAATAATTGAATAGATTTGTACATATTTTACCCGATTTAATCGTTTAAGCGTACAATAGGTTGACAAGATGAAGGAATAATGGGATAGAAAATGAAAATGAGTTAAAAAAAAAGGAAAAAAAAACGCGAACGAAAGAGAGTTAGACATTGTCGGACCGACAGCTAGACAAGCAGACAGAGGGGTGGGACTGGGAGTCGGGAGGGGGGAGGATGAGAGACAATGATAGAAAAAAAAATAAGACTAGTTAAACAAAGATGGGCAATGGGGGAGAAATTACAAAGTTCTCTAAAGCGTGAAATGCAAACCATATGCACAAGCATTAATGACAGGCAGTAATTTTTTCTTATCTTCTCGTTCTAATTAATAATTTGAGTAGAGAGCAGTTGTTTTCTCCTAAAAGCGTGATAGTTCATGCATTCATCACCCGGCACGCGATTCAACATCTGGAATAAGGTGGAAAATCTGCTTTGGTCATACTAAAATTGTATTTTTCCGCTACATATATAGGAAAGATCAGTTTTGTTTTTACAAAACTTGAACGATTTGCCAGTAAACTTTTTACTTTTCTTTTTTTTTATATTCTACTTTTCCCTTTTTACTTTAAATAAAAGTTTTAATTAAAAGAGTTTTATGAGAAAAACACCTGCATACTCTCGAAAAATGTGGTATTTTTATTTCCTTAAAAATTAATATGACAAATATAAATCAGTCGTAAAACGTTTATTCTTATGTTGAATTTTAGTAGTATTTAAACGATTTTCCATATTTTTCTCTCCTTTGTCTTTTTTAATTTCGATTTCAGTATAAAAGTGTGAAAGAAAAAATAAATTATCTATAGGATGAGTTGAAAGAAAGAAAAAACTCACTTGATATCTTGATATTCCTCTCTCCGGAAGAGAGATAAAAAAGATTAAGAGCTGGATATTTTCATCTCGCAAACATTGAATGAGTAATCGGTTCTGGCCGCCGTCACAAAGAAAATAATATCTTAATTCGGTTTTCTTTATAACAATTTCCAATGCATACGTAATTAAATAAGGCAAAAATTGCCGACATTTTCCACTATTCGGCTAGATAATATCGAACGAGGGTGACAGATCGTCAGATTAGAAGATTACAGTAGTTTTTTATTTCATCCCTTTTTTCGATAGTGTCTTTTACCGCTTTATCATAAACGCTACGCCATCTTTCGGTTGTATTTTATTCATGGTATAAAACCTTTAAATTGTTTTCAGTAACGCCACCTACTTTCATTAAAAGCTAAGTATCTTTATTCTTCAACTTTCTTTTTCTAGGAATGCTTAAAATAATAATGAGAAAATAGATACTTTCTCACAGTTTTATTCATTTTTCTTTGTTAAATATTATCATTTTTATCCAATAAATAATAATCAATCTGTGTTATATTATAGATTAAAGTAACTATTTCCCACTAAATATCGACTTCTATATAATACTTAAGCAATTTTAGGGAATTAACCTATATTATTCTTTTTCAATTCTTTTTTATGACGTCATTTAATTTTTTCTCCAGGTATTCTTAAGAATATTAAAGTGATCAGAGAGAAAGAAAGCAATAATAGAGAAAGAAAGGAAGAAAGAAAAAGCGGAACTATTTCGTGGTTGAAATTGCTCGCGTGTCAATAATTTCCCTATAAGGTTTCCTCCTTTCCGTCTTACAGGAGAAAGGAAAGGACTTGGAGTGCTTAACCCAAAACTAATCCCTACCGTATCGATTATGGCAGGCAAAGAAACACGAGATATCGTCTAGTTATTTACTTATTTTTTCTATACTTCAATCTTAGATCAAATTTGTAATACTCACGAATAAAATTATTATTAAGTTACAAAGTTAGGCAAATAAAAGGGGAAAAGAGGATTACTATATTTTAATTTCATCATTAAAATATAGATGGCGAAACTTCCTTTCCTTTCTAAAACGATGTGGCGTGAGGGCAAGTGGGAAAGCGAGAGGCATTTGTTCCTATTGATGCGCCATCTGGTTTGTTCCTTTGAAACTTTAGGATTAGTTCACAACTACTGAACAACAGATTGAAAGTAATCGCGAATTAATTAGTTTCTTTTATTATTTGTAAGTAAAAGTCATACATATGTATTAATGCATTGAAAGGTCTATTAAAATAAGAAAAAATTTTTAAAATACTATGAATTTCTCGTTTTTCAAATTTTCGGCCTACTGATCTAATTAGATGAACGCTTTTCACAAAATGATAATAAATCCTAGACGTCAACTAAACCGTTTAAAAGAAATGAGAAAATTAGACTTGTCAAAACAAATCAGTCAATAGATAAAAAAAAAGGGTAATAAAGGAATATATACCCCTACTCGTTAATCAAAGCGATTGACACGGGCTAAAACACAACAATACACAAAACCAAAGGGGGTGTTGGTAGGGAGTCTTAAAAAAATCATAAAAAAAATATTGTACTACTACAAATGTATTTTAATCAAACTCTTGACATAAACCTAAATTGAATAAATATTTATTTTTCCTTTTTTTCTATCCCTTTCATTATTTTTATCTTTGTGAGATGGCGTGAACATTTCTTTATTTCTTGTTATTTTATTTCTTAAGAACGAATATATCTCCACCCACACAGCCTCCCACACAGTAACTTAAGCCAATTAATATCCTACTCAAAATCTAAAACTCAATTAATTACTCGCTCCCCCTCTCGCCTCACATAAAACACTCTGGCTTTAATTGACTCTGTATGTCTTTATCAAAAGAGAAAAGTCATCTTTTAATGATGTAATGATTAGACATTTGAAAGAAAATAATTTTACAAATAAGTAATAAATAGCCGTTAAAAGTGTTAAATAATGAAGAAATGACTGGGAAAGACTGACAGGCAGAGAGAGCATGAGAGGGAGAGAAAAACAGAAAGAGAGAGAGAGAGAGAATAGAAAAGACTAGCATTTTTTGGTTCAATAAAGAACCAATGGTCTGAGAATAACACGTCTTTTCAAAAGAAGCCGGTCGAACATCAAAAGGATTCAAAAAGAGGCCAATCACAACGATTGCCATCTAGCCCACGGCAGACGGTTCGATGATTTCCTCAGGTCAAAGGTTGAGTTTACATTTGGCGGTGTCGATTTTAAAAAGAAATAGAATTTACACTATACGTGAGAAAAGACTATATTTATCTTCTATGTATAGAAGTGAAGCAGTAAGCTTTTATATACCTTATGAAACTTATACCTCAACTGCCAACATCGAAATTTGCCTGCATTCGATGGAATAGGGATTTTCTACTATTTTAAGCTCATTAAAGTTTTCAAATGTAGCGATATTAGAGTTAAAATCAATATACAACATTTATTCTTGTTTACTTTACGTCTTTACCGACGTTAAACAAGTAGCTAAAAGATGTAAAAAGAAACAGAATCAAAGCATTCTCCCCTCTTTCGGCAGGTTGTTAAAATTTTCTTTATTTACCGTTTCTTATCACAAAAAAGGTCAGTGACGGTTTAAACGAATTTATTTTTTTCTATTCACAGAAAAAATTATGATTTTATATGATCTAAATAGCGACCAAGTTTATCTTTAACAACAATGCGCTATATTTATATTAGATAATTGCATAATTGTCAAATTTATATAAAAAATCAAAATTTTTTGTCCATAGCGGTGTTTATTGTGAACTGGCCAGTGTATTCTTATTTGTCACAAATATTGAAGAGACTCATTGTTAATTTTTTGACCCATAATAGGTTAACAATAAACGATTTATCTATTAATTTGACTTCTTTTCTTTTATTTTTTTTGTGTAAATGATAATTAAACAGAAAAAATCGAAGAGAAAATGGTACTTTATACTTTTTATATTAATTTGTCTATAAAATAAATAAACTTCTATCTTGAACTTTGTTCTTCTTATGTAAGTTTTGAAATAGGATAAAAGACTATTTTTTATCCTTATTTATTCAAGTTAATTAGTCTATTTAACTTTGGGAAAAAATGTTTTGAGATCGTAAAGAATATCATATAATACATAAAGAGAAGACGGGAAGAGGAGAAGAAAGGGAAGAGAATAGAACTATAAAAAGAAGGGTGAAAATAGAAATAAAGATACTATTGTATCGATGTTAAAAAAAAATTTTTCCTTTTCTCAATCGTAAATATGCAAAAGTTGAGAAAGAGAGAAGAAAAATCATTTAATAATGGCTTTTAAATTACCCACAGCGAAAGGCGACGAAACTGTCTTTTCCTGACTATTAAGAAGATAAATTGATGAGCTGAATAGATATCTCTTTCACATAAATAAGCATTCTGCGAAAAAGGTATGAAAATTATAGAAAAATAAATGTTCATATATTTGTATAAAATTGTATGAACAAATAAGTAAATGTTACAGGTAGAGAAGATTTATGGTAAAATAATAAGTTATAAATTATGGACATTTCGTTCCATTCAATAAATGACTAGCAGCTTAAAGAACCGATTAATCATGTGATTTGTCAGAAAAAGGTCTTTTTATATTCGAACTGCGATCGGTGCGAAAGGCGCTGAAATAATTCATAGTTATTGTAACCGAGGCATTGATCCGAAACAGTTTGTTGCGCTATTTTACCTACCGACTTAAAATCCGGACGCTGGATAGGTGGCGTTAGTGAGTGACTTTGGGGAGTCAATTCAGTCCGGCTTAAGGATGCAAACAAGCAACTGTAATGTTCATGTGAACATTAATGAAAGTTTATATGAGTTTTTTATGAGAAATCTAAAAAGGATATTACCGAAAGATTTGCCAAACTTCTTTCAATCTTCAGACGATAACTACTTCGAAAAAATTGATCACCGTGACTTTTGGGATGAAATTAGGGTTCCTTCTCTAGCTATAACTGTCTTGTTAAAGGAGAGATCATCTTTTAAAAAAGCAGAGAAGATTCTCAATACAGAACCTTGGATGTTTCACCACAAAATAGAAAGAACTGACTCTAAAGGAACAATAAGAATTGGTCAACAAAAATTTTACACACTTAACAACCACCTGCCTTGCTGTTCAATATCTCCGGTAGAAGAAAGTTCCCTCGAACGTCTAAGATTGGTTATTTTCACAAAAAATTTTCCAGAAAGCGTACATGTTTATAGACTATTAACGGGAAAGGAAGGAGATTGCATCAAATCAGATTTTTGCCTGTTCAATATCACTCCCTATCTGCAGATCGCTATCAAGCAATGCCATCCAGCTGTCGTTTTATACAATCTACCTTACTTATCGGTCTCATTCTATTTGAACACTGGATTCGTTCTACCTCTACTACCTTCATCTAAATCAGATTGTGATGGCAATAAAATCGTTCTTATTGACACGGACAGTCATGATTCCGGCTGGAGTTCGGAAGAAACGAGAAGTTTAAGTTCGACGACAAGTAGCAGATTGAGTAGTTCATATTATTCACTTCCCTCCTCTATTAGCCATAAGAGAGGCAAGCGTTTAAAAGATAGGCATAGTGCTGAAATCATGTACGGACTGCTACAATGAATACACCTGCTTTAGCATTTAGCCTTTATAAAAGAAAAAGAATACAACAATTGTTGTAAATGGATATTATGTAATAATCTTTAGCATGCTCGTGATGATGTGTGAAATTTAAATGGTCATTTAAGTCATAAAATGCTCTTGTACAGTTTTAAGGGTTGGTTCGAGTGTTACTCACTGTAGGACTAAACAATCTGTAAAGCCCTCTCTTCTCTCCTCATTAAAAAATAACGAAGCCTTTTCTCGTAAGAGACTAACATTTACATAAGAAGTATAACCTTTAACCTAAATATGTTTTCCCTCAATTCAACACATCCTTTCTAATACCTTTGCGTCATTGTCGTGAAGCGAAAGAAAGCAAGAAAAGAAAATTAAAACATTAAATCACGCCATCTATCGTATATTTTGTCAACCTTATCTTTTATTATACACCATTAGCATAATTTACTTAAAGGAGAAAATTACTCAATTATCATAGAAATTAATTAAGTTATTTTAAGATTACCAATGTTGAGTTTATTGAATATTTCGTTTTGAATAGTACACACAAATTTACGGGCTAACGTTGACTGGAGAGGAATTTATTACGGCATTTTATGACCGTAATTACCTTTTAACTATACTATTCAAGCTCCCGCATGAAATCTTTATAAACTCTACCCAAACTTTTGTGTTTAGGTAGATAAATAACAAAACAAGAAGCATTTATTTTTATTCTTTAAAGTTTTAAGTTGTTTTTCAGTAAAGTCTTTTTCTATATAACAGCAAAAAATATAGCTTTTCATATTAATAAATTCAAATTTAATGTATTCATTCTGCCATAAAATATTCAAGTTTATTAATAAATATACTAATAGAAAGGAACAATATTTATAAGTTTTATTATGTAAAAATTTCTCACTTTTTATTATTTCATAGGTTATTCTCTTCAACAGAAATCCTTTTTTTATTAATATATGCCTCCTTCTATCACATAGAGCTTAATCTAAACGTTTAAAGCTTTATTAAAAAGTCTCTTATGTAATTGTTTTTTTTTGTTGAGCCCGTTAACATAGCATAAAAATTTCATTCGATAAAGTCTGCCAATAGAAACTGTTTGCATATTTCGTGCCATAATGATAATATTTGCGCAAACACGAAAGCGTGTGATCTTATTTATTATGCACTTATCTCGATTTAAGAGAACAAAATGAACAAATTTTTCAAATAGTTTCAAGTTATCGATAGATAGATTATTAATATGTACAAAAGAGGGGATAGTATATAATCTCTAACTATGTATATAGGAAAAAACTTAGAAATTTCAACAAAGATGAATAGATTTTGTTTTTTTATTAGCTTTTTTTGTACTCTATTGCAAACAATGAAAGAAGTATTGATAAGTTGAAATACAACTTCAAGTCTAAGGAAAAAGAGAAAGAAAAGTAGGGAAAACTTCCTTCCCCTCAGATTAAGACGTCAATGCGAAGGTCAAGCGTTGAAGCACGCTAGGCAAGGTAGGATAAATTAGGTTGATTAGCGTACAACGAACTAACGCTTGAATAAATTTAACACGTGTTCAATTTGTTTCGAGTACTTTGTGCGCAATACAAAAGTACAGTAATGATTAAAAAGGTATTTTTCTCTATGGTACCGATAATCGTATTGACGGCAGGTGGCGTCGTAACTAAATTTAATACGATAGATGGCTATCTCTTTTAACACGGAAAGGTCATCTAGTGGAATGCGCAAGAAAAACTTACTTGACTGCTGGAGACGTGTCATATTAGTGAAATTAATTGCTATCTTTGTAGACATAATAAGATTAATAATTTTCTAGAAGATGACCTTAATTCGGGTCGACATATGCGAATGTTAAGACTGCCGAGGGTGTTAAATTGAAGAATGCAAGAAAACCCAGTAAGGTAATAAAAGACGATTGAGATAAATCTTGATAAGATTTATAAAGTTTTTAACACTTTTCGTCTAGAATGTCCTAAAGCTCTCTCCTAATAAAAATCATACACCAGTCCCTCTTCTTTCATCCTTTTATCACCCTTAATTAAATCCCATAACGAACCCTAATTAAAAATTACACAAAGAACAACAAATATCCCCCTAAACAAAGCTTATTTACATACGCGAAGCTGATTGGACAGCCCGAAATTCATACAACCAATCACAAAATAGTGAAAAGTGAATAACTCATTATAAACTTGTGTTCGTCTCTTTTCGAAAAGATTATGAGCAAAAAGTTGACTCGACAACGACTAGCCAACAATGTCTCGTTCGTTTTATGTCGATTCGTTAATTCTCAAACAGCCAACTACTTTATCTAGTCGGCCGGCCACCCCTAATCTGGGTTTGTCGCAAGCTATGGCTAGCCTTCAATGTGCAGCAAGAGGCCATCAGCAAGGATTAAGCGGAATGTGCTGCACGTCCTGTTCAGCAATTCAATTCAACCCTCTAGCTTCACAGTTTCCTGGAGCTTTGGTCAGACATACAAACCGTCCTAGAAATGGTAAGCATATATTGCTTTATACTTTGTACATGAGATTCTATTAAGTAGGTTTTTTTTCTCCTCCTAAAAAACTAGCTCCTTCCGTGTCACCTCCGTCCTCTGTACACGGACCTGCTGATGATCTTCCAAGCTCTAAGAGAATGAGAACAGCATTTACATCGACTCAATTACTCGAACTCGAGAGAGAATTTTCTTCGAATATGTACCTATCTCGTTTGCGAAGAATAGAAATTGCAACATATCTAAATTTAAGTGAAAAACAAGTGAAAATATGGTTCCAAAATAGAAGAGTAAAGTATAAGAAAGAAGAAGTTGGAAATGAGAAGAATAAATGCCGATGCTGCTTATTAAGGACTTGTAGTTCAAAGAAGAAGGAAGACGGTGAAATGAGAGCAGCCGATAGTTCATCAATTATTGAAAAAAGTTCCGAAGAAGAGGATGATATAGCATCGTCGATGGAATTATCTGTTGACTAAAAAATGAGGAATAGTCAATAAATGACTTTTCATAATGTGCCGTCTTCTGTATTTTATTATAATGTATAGAAAATTATTTTGCTATCCTCTATCTCTCTGTTTCCACTCATTTCCCATTTTACACTCTTGCGTGTATATGTGTATAAACAGCGTCAATAGTGTATATATTTTTACTTCTATGCATGTATACGGAACATACTTTATGTATTATTTATGCATCTAATATTCAATATAAATATTTATACTATGACAGACTTTTCTACAATTTATTACTTTTTGCATATTAAGCCAACTTTCAAGGAAAGAATACATTATGATGCTGACTTGATAAATTAAACACAGTTTAATTTTCTACTTGCAACTTAATTTTGACCTGAATCTATAACAGTTAATAATGTATTATTTTAAGTTAATATACAGTATAACACTTCATTTATAATAATGTGTTTGTAAGTTTATATTAATAAATATGTATAATTGTTATACATTTTTCCATTTAAATTTGACCTTCTTTTTCTTTTTTGAATGTGCAAGTGAAACGTTCAAGCTGAAGTTTTATAAATAAACCTTAAATAGCCCACCAAGGGTTCGTAACTGACATGACTGTATACACACAAACAAGTCACGGGTCAGTTGATTGTAATAAATCGAACCGCATGTCCATCATCCGGAAGAAATCTCTAAGGCGAAACTAAACAGGGCACTTGGGATCGATTAGAATATCTACCGCCTCATTATTACAAGGCGGTCGTTTTTGGATAGATAAACTTAATCTTGTTATGAAGCGCCAGGTGTGTGGCGCTGTCAAAGTTAGTCTTTTGTCGTCCTAACCCGTACACAGTTTTTATGAGGAACCCTTAGGCAATTGTTGGTCTGTAAAAAATGCTATATTCTATAAATTACACGTAATGAATTTTCGAACGAAATTAGCGCATTTTTAGCTAACACGCTTCGAACAAAGAATGAATTCGATAATCTAAATGGATCGAGAGAAATAGAAGCAGTTAGCATCCTGCAGTTTTCACATATGTCGGCGTTCTTTTGATGTGAAAACAGAAGTATATAACGTATTGTAGAGAATCTGGCTAGATAAAATTATAACCTTCGCTATATTTCAAGCTTTCAATTAGACGTCATCGAAGATGCTTACAGAGCTGGGAAGAGGCGGTTGGGACGCTGCTCTTATCGCTACCGTCATCATAGAACGCCAATCTCAATGATATTTGATATTTCGACGTTCCTCTAGGTATTAAAATATAAAAGATAACATTTACATTCGACATGACAATATATTTATATTAAAAAATGTTTTCTTGACAATATCGGATCAATGTTTGATTAGATTGAAAAGCAAAATAACTTGGATTACTATTTATATACATTAAATAAACTGAATAGTGGCATTGTACTTGTATATTCAGTGCACGCAATGCTATTATATTAAATTTTCAATTTTTACCAAATTAAAAATTCTTATAAACTGTTCTAATTGTTCAGCAAATAGCTAAACAAGTATGTTGATGGACTATCAGTCAAAATGAAAAGGGTAGCATTTATTTGATGAAAAAGGGCAAGAAAGAAATCGTTTAACGTAAGAATTTGTAAATCTTTTTCAACTTTTATTTATAGTTAAATGGAAAAAATTCCAAAAGTTTCCAAACAGATGACATTCCGAAAAGAAGGTCAACCGGTATTGTTTAAGCATATACTGCAGCGTCACAGACGGACACCTGCAGTAAACTAATTGCCAATTTGTATGAATCCACGCGAGCGTCATAGGAAAAACGCTGCCCCCCATTTTGACGAGAAGAAAAGCCGTTGGCGATTTAAACACAGCGTTAAATATGGTCTTCTTTCTTGTCTATCTGATTTACACAAACTTAAAATTATTCTAACACTTTTACTTTATCTATTGCCTTTTTTAGCTTAATAAGAAAGGAGCAGCGGCAAGTTCTGACGATGCTATTTTCCCATCTACGAAGACGCCCCAAAAACTCGATAATTATTCTAAACGACCAGCGATCACGAAGGTTCTTTTGAAAAGAAATCAAACAAACTCGTGACGTAACGGATCTTTTCTCGGCGTGTCGGAATGCCGATGAAACACCTGCCCACTCGTCTTCTTCCACTCAAAGTTGGTAGCTTCTTGCATTACTGACTGAAACATTTTAGATTAAGAAAGAAAAAGTAAACGGAAAAAGAAACGTAGCTTTACTTTCTTTGCCCCTCCCAACTTCTATTCCTGCGAAAGCGAGAAGTAGAAAAAAAACATTATTCGTGAACAGATTGAATGGCGTTGGTGCATCGGCGCCACTTAATACTGACATTTAATGTCAGCACTGATTCTGGCAGACGGGAGAGAACGTTCGAGTCGTTTTAACGCTTTATTGAGCGTGCAATATGGCGTCACTGACGGAGTCATTCTAGACGCTCGCACGCGCCTAACTTTCTTCGAGGAAGTTGCATCATAATTGCATAAGTGACACTTTTTTCGTCGGGGCTAATTCCTTAATTAATGCTTTACCTGCAGAGTACATTATACAAGAAACTTACGTAAAGTCGCTGTATACCATTACCCACGATCCAATTGATTCAACTCAATTACTTGTAACTAAATATAGACTCATCAACTGTTTCGATTCTAACAGTTGGAGTATCGTTTTCTGAGAAACTTTCACTTTCTTTCATTCAAATGAAATAGTAAGCGAAAACTCCTTTAATAACAGATTTAAGAATTATCGAAAGTTTAGGAGATTTTGTAATCGTTAAGGCACGCGTGCTACAGACGTCTTGTTGATGAGAAGGCTTTAAAACGCCCAGGGGATAGTGAATTGAACTGAAAATAAACAGTGAAAAGGCGCGAATAATGAATCGTAAAGCGGCGTGCACGAATAAACAAGATAATAGCTACTTTGTATTTAAAAACATCAAAGCCGATACTCGACGCCCTAAAGGACATTTCACCCTAAACTGTTAAAACTACTAATTAAGACAGCTCATTAACAGCGGTACATGTGGTCAACGCTGACCGCGCTGAGTGGTGTAGAGGGCGCCCCGCTGGGGGGACAGACAGCCTAGCCACGCCCACTCTGCTCCAGTGTCGCCTATTCAAACAACTACTTTTGAATGGGCGATACGCTCTTATTCAGCTGCGCTTTCTGTTTAAACCGAAAGAATATACAGCAAAATACTCATTCAAACATTTCATATAGTTTTTATAACGAAATAAATGAGAGAAATGTTCATTTTTTCCTTTGCTTAAACAGCAGTGAGAAAAAAAATCGCAAGGTGTAAAAACAAACTTTCCCATTGAAATTTTTTGCTGATAATGTATTAATTCATTAAAAACATCTTGTTTATTTAGTAGAATTTTATATTATCCTATCTTTTGCCACCCCTTCACTCTCTCTCTCTCTCTGTTCTTCGCTATTCTTACCAATAGTAAATTGAAATTGAGAATTTGAATTAACGAAAATAGGTAAAAAGGAGGAGAAAGATATGAAGCTTTAAATAAATATAAATTAATTTTCATCCATTAATCAAATCAAATTAAAAGTTAAATGTTATTTTTTGTCTTTATAACAATAATAACATTCCACGCGTCACCGAAAAGCACAAATTGTCTCATTAATTACGCTGTTTGACGCCTCTTTTGCAGTCGGCCTGTCTCCCCTGTTTTATTACTCTTTTTTCCTTCAGTATCCTGTTCGGCAGCAATACGATTGGAGGAAAATAAAAAGAAATAGAAGAAAAGGAGAAGAAGAAGAATTAGAGTATTATCTTGGAATAATATTTTCTTAAGTAATTTTTCTTCTTTAATATTTGCATTATGATAATATTTCGAACTTTTATAAACAATCATTATTAATTAGTATGTTTTATCGCATAATTGTTTACTACCTAGCATATGCTTTGGCTTTTTTTCTGTATCATTCAATGTTTTAACAATATAATCTAAACTAGCCACATGTCTGTCAATAAAGGAACCTTTGACAACGTCCGCTCCTTATCGTTTAAGAATGATCGCCCGAATTTTGTAACTAACTTGGGGAGATTAGAATATTTATCACGTGACTTCTCTGATAAGGATAGCGTCAGTTGCATACAATGGAGAACAACTATATGAATGCAGTCTCCTATTATCCAGAAGACTACCCCAATTGTTCTTATGATTACGTTTATAGCCCTTGCATGCACGAACCACCTTATCCTTGGATGAAATGCTCGAAGTCTCAAAAGAACGACTGGACCCCTGGTAAGTTTCTTGAATATATTTTTTCTTGAAATTTATCTTGTTACAAGACAAGAATAAACATTAACCTCTGACCTCGAACTCTGACTCGTCGAAGTTCAATAGAACCAGGTGCTTTTTTTTCCTGTACACAGTGCCCATTATATTGAGGGACAGTTGATTAAATATTTAAATAAATTATACATCTGTCTGTAATTTGTAACGTTAGTATATATTAATTAAATATGCTTTATTACCTAAGAATCGAAAAGAACTAGGACTGCGTATACCAGGGCTCAACTTTTGGAATTGGAAAAAGAATTTCACTTCAGCAAATACATTTCGAGAACTCGTAGAGCAGAGTTAGCTACATCTCTCTGTCTTACGGATAGAAACGTTAAAATTTGGTTTCAGGTGGATAATTTTTAATTGATTTATTGTTATTATTTTATGATCCAGTAATTGAATATTTATCGTTTCATTTGAATAATTTTTTTGATGTCCTCTTTCCTTCATAAACCACCACCCCTCCCCCCTACTCCCTCTGGGGAGGAAAGTATATGAGGAAATAAAGATATCTCAAATTAAGCGAATAAACCTGTTATGTATGCTCTTTAAAGGTAGGGTCATAAATACCCTTTGTTCTCAAACAGAATAGGCGTATGAAATGGAAAAAAGATGAGTCGAAAAAAAGACCCTCGTTCAAGCAGAGTGATTCAAGCGCCACCTGTCACAACTCCTCGTCAAATAGTGCCATCTGTCAGCCAAATGAAAAATTGTATACTGATTCTAAAACTGGTTACGTGTATAGGTCGATGCAAAACTGAAAGTTTTCTGCATTTATCTTCTTTTTAACTTATGTTAATTATATTAATAAGTAATTTATTTAATCCTTTCAATGTTTCTTTTTTTGTTTAAAAAAAATAACTCAAACGCTTTACCTGCCATATGTACTGTGTAATAAGAACCAGCTACAAACTACAGCTTTTTTGCTCTTACTCTTTTATTGTTATATTTTAGGAAGCTGATTGATCAATTCAATGTTTTTTCCTGAAGCAAGATATTTTTCAGCTTCGCTAAGTTATATTATA